AAAGCTAGCGAGCATTACTAGCATTACCAACCCCTCTATAAGCAACTAAGAGTGCGTATTATAATTAGTGCCTTCAAATCTATTTATTGTGATTAACCGTACCTAACATATATAATATATATATATATATATATATATGAAGAGTTCAGATGCAAAAGCCTCTAAGTGCCATTTGAAATTTTCTTCTAGAATGATCATTTTTATCAAGCTTGTATATTTAAGTTCAGTGATTTCACTTAAATGGCAATGATAATTACCTATTAATTGTTATTTAAGTGAAATTACTGAACTTAAATATACAAGTTTGATAAAAATCATCATTAAAGAAGAAAATTTCAAATGGCATTTAGAGGCTTTTACATCTGAACTCTTCATATATATATATATATATATATATATATATATATACATACAAAGTATATATAACATATAATATATATATAACATATAATATATATTTATATATATATATATATATATATATATATATTAGGGCTGTCAAACAATTAATCGCGATTAATCGCATCCAAAATAAAAGTTTGAGTTTACATAATATATGTGGGTGCACAGTGTATAAAAATTATATATATACAGTATATATATATATATATATATATATATAAATACACACACATGCTTGTATATATTTAAGAAATATTTTCATGTATATACTGTATATAGATTTATATCTAATTTATATTATATATAAATATTTTATATACAAATATTTTTTTCCTAAATATACACGCATGTGTGTGTATTTATATATATATATATATATATATATACAAAATAATTATACACAGTGCACCCACATATATTATGCAAACTCAAACTTTTATTTTGGATGCAATTAATCGCGATTAATCGTTTGACATCCCTAATATATATATATATATATATATATATTACCCCTGCAACATGTAGGCACTCACTGTTGTGTGGGCACGCTTGTAACGTGGGGCCATTAATCAACATACACACTGTTCCCAATCTCTCTGCTGATGGCGAAAAACACACACAGCTCCATGAGCACTTCTGACGTACTGGTCCCAGGCTGCCATACTTCCCAAAAGAGAGAAAACACTAGAGGCATGGTGCACAACCCCACCAAAAAAACCCCCTCACAAACACACACTGCCACAAAAACATGAATGAGAAGACTATAAATATAGTTTCAATGAGAGCACAGAAAAGGTTCATAAATACTGGCCCCTGAGCTACAAACACAAATACACACAGAGCGGCGGGTAGTTGTTTTCATTCAAAGAGGGCAAGAGGAAATGCGATTTTCAAATGAAGACAAATTAAAACAGTAGGGAGGGTGGGTGACACAGCTATAAAAGCATCTGGACAAATGTCAAATACATAAAGGGATGCGCATTATTGCAGTATGACAGTATCAGAGTACAGTGTGATAAATATTTTTTGTTCCAATGGCTTGAAGCATGACTCATCCAAGCAGAATTTGGTCTGAAAAACACAAATTCTGTTTAAAAGTTTCAGATCGGTAAGATTTGTTTCATCAATATGATTAGTTATTTAAATAACTTTTCGTTTACACTTTATTTTAAGGTGACATGGTTACATTGTACTTGCTCAAATAAGTACTGAGTAATATTAATTAACTACATATACTTACAGAGTTACAGTTTGGTTCATTTTAGTGTTAGTTACTTGTTGTAATCCATAATTTACTGTTATTAAATATAGTAAATACATGTAGTAACGTAACTATGTCACATTAAAATAAAATGTTTTCTATTTGAATAATGTTCCTGTCCATTACTCCAGTCTTCAGTGTCACATGATTCTTCCGAAATCATTCTAATGTGATCATTTGCAGGTCAAAATACTGGAAAAAATATTGTGGACAAAAAAATATCAAAAATCAATATAATTTTTTTTTTTTCAGGATTATTTCACTTTTGATTAATGTAATGTGTTCTTATTAAATTATAAGATTAAAGTATTCATGTCAATAATTTAATTAAAAAATAAATACTGAGCCCAAACTTTTAAACTGTATGGTTTATAATCTGTTTATAATGTTGGTTTCACTGTTTTAACTCAAAGGGAGACATTCAGTATAATTCAAAAAATGAATAAATAATACTATCTTTGAGATGCTGCGATGTGATTGGTCCACAGGCTACTCCAGTTATCCAATCACATCCATTGTAGAGGCAAAATCAAAAAAAGGATTTATTTGGTAAATGTGTTTTTTTTTCATCGCAATCTTCTTATCGGATAAAAAATTTATCCGAATGAAACACAAATGAATAAAATAAAAGACTAATTTGATCTCACGCCGACTTTAATGTGTTAAAAGGGGTGATGAACTGAGAAATCAAATTTTCCTTGAGCTTTTGACATCTACGAGGTCCTCATATTATAAGAATATCCTGTAAGTTTCAGAACTGAAAACGTCCTTGTTAGTCCAATAAAAGCTTTTATTAACACCAGGCCCAGCAAACGACTCGTTTTTCAAAGTGGGGAACTATGACGTCAAAGCAGCGCAGTCTCACCCCAAAAAGTCATATAACTGACGTTTTGGGACGTCTTTTGACCATACGTCAATATTCGCCTTTTTAGGGCCCCCTTAAACAACAGTAGATGAGGTTATGGGATCCTAACTCTACCCCAGACCTAAACCTAACCCTAAACCTAACCCGTCACCCAACTGACGTTAAAGGTAAAGCGTCAGTTGTATGACGGCCCGGGATCGCCATCTAGCGACGTTTAAGGGGGCCCTAAAAAGGCGAATATTGACGTATGGTCAAAATACGTCCCAAAACGTCAGTTATATGACTTTTTGGGATGAGACTGTGTTGGTCAAAGAGGATAAAACACCACCCCCACAGAAGAAGATCAACGTCTACTTCAACACGGCCAGTTTAGCCCCGCCCACCGATTCGCGCATTACACGCATAGCTAAATAACATAGGCCTACCTCGTAATGACAAACCGGATCAAGCTACCGCCTGGTTGTGGAAGAAGACAGTGGCTGCATAAGCTTCCTCTGGATTCCAATAGGACTGCATGGATAAACTTTATTTTTAATGACGTTCCAGCTGTCCAACATTGTCCGTCTGTTCGCTTCATTCCACTGAGGATTGTTTTGTAAACAAGACTGGATTTGCAGACCAATTAAGAGTAGTACAGTGCTGTGCCGTCTATATTGGATCTGACAGGAATGGTGCCACACACGGACTCTGGGTCGAACATGTTTGGGCGAATCATTCCGGTTCCAATTTTACAACATTGGACGTTTTCAAAACAATTTCCCCCAAGTGCACCGACGAGTAAGTTGAAACTCATTATAATATGCAAAACTGTTATCCACTCACAGCAGTGGGCGTTTACTTCCAAGTCTTCAGTGCGAGACGCCCATAAAAACCGAGCGTTTTTCAGCTAGGCTCAAAATTAGGGTAGAAAATAGTCTATTACTTATTCATTTTGATGTTTTTGAATGCAAAAACCAAGCGAACGTCATAAGTTCACCTCAGACAACAATATAATAAAATTTTAAAAAGCCAGTTCATGACCCCTTTAAGTAAGACAGTCAAGGTCATGAACGCGGTTTCTAAGTGTCACTCTTAGCTGATATGGGGAGATGTGACTCTGTACTCTTGTCCTGACATGAACATGCAAATCTATTTTCCAAAGCAAACATCAGTCCAACATGCCCTTTCCGGCCCTGGAACATATTATTAATGAGTCAGGACACAGTGTTGTTCGGGAAACATGTTGTTTCTCATTACCGCACAGCTATACAGACAGAATGCCACAGTGGGCCGGTGCCACAGTTCCCTGGACATTTCCAAAGGAAAGGTAGGGAATACTAATGCAGAGCTTACGCACAAATACACACACACACACAGAAAAATCGGATGCCCTGAACAAAGCTGGAAATGGTGTTAGGGAGCTGGGTTTGCCATTTTTTTCCACTGGCCTGCTGATGCCAGCCAGACGTGGTAAAAGAGAACCCTATAACCACCCACTGAGAATGCATCTGAAATGATGACCCACAACATCACACTGGCATAACCACCCAGCAGGAAGATGCCAGATAGCAATGCACACCTTCTGGACCCATGCAACGCCCTCCTTATCAGGTGAGAAGAGAGAGGGGCGAGCGAAGAATGTAGTGAACCATGTGAAAGGTCATGCATCTCACACCCACTCCAGCGTAAACAGGATAAATGTGGCAAGCACATCAACAGCGACCTTTCTGAAACAAACTCCTTTTTTTTTTTTTTGCAATCCACAATACACACTGCATTTAAGTTCTGTGTGCAGGGAAATTCAAAGCTATGCATTCTGAAGCAACGATGACCTTCTCCATCACTGACAGATCTTGCTGATGTACTGCACCCAACTCCTCCTTTTTTCTTCTCTCTCAGAGATCAGTATGCAATAAAAACATTGCGCCTTTCCCATTTTTCCGCTCATCCGCATCCATCCACTGCATCAGCTGTCACTGGAGACATGTCATTCTCCTCATTCAAATCAACGTGTGCTGATACAGCAGTGCTACATAAAGCTGCGTTTGATGGAAATGCATCCGGGAGGCTCGTGCATGAGGGGGGTGTAGTGTCAGTGCCATGGGGAACCTCCGAGAAGCATTTTTTTTTTTTTTTTTTGCTGGAAGAACTGCCTCTGCAGTGAACCCGTTACGCACAAGGCACGGATGCACAACCTTTAATTAGCTATGCCTTTATAATAATGCATGGGTATGGTAATGAATAAAGCTATTTTCAGATGCATTGCGCAATCAATATGACGCTATTAGCAGTAGTGATGGCTCAGACCAGCATTTGTGTGTTTAAATATGCATTAGCTTTATATTAAGAAACAGTGAAAGTTTGAATGGGAAAATAAAGCCTATGTGAATTGGAAGCTACTGCAGAGCAAGGGTGGTTTCCCAATCTTTTCTGTAATAATGAAAAACTTCCGACACGCAGTAAAATGATCGTATTTAAGATCATAGCTCTCACCTGCCAACAGTCTGGTTGGCGAGCTGTCGCATCCGATTGAATTGCTTCTTCATTTTTGTATTTTTTTTTCTGCGTTAACACCTCGAGCGCAAAACAATCCGCATTTCTCTCAAAATAAAGAGACGTAATCCGGTGCGAACATCCCCGTTATTCCCATCACACACCCTCATGACAAACCGAAAGAGGGTGGAAATGTCCCAAGATGCGTGTTTCAATGCATTTTAGCGCTGCTGCTCGGCTGAGATGCTGCTGGGCGATTCTCTCATCGGCGAACTGACAGCAGCGGAACGACGCGGGCGCGGTGCACCACGGGAAATGTAGTCTTATTACACACGCTACATGTGCGGAGCGCTTTTTTTTTCGGTGGACATGTGTGCAGTGGAGTGGATAGCTTTTATTCTGTTCTGCCGTGCAATTGAATGGTAGCATAAATAATGCTTGTAGACAATAATACACTGCTTGGAATCAAAGGGACCATGCCTACAATATAGCCTACTTATGTTACAACTTTCATTGGCTACTTAAACGCCAGGTAAAAGACAAGTCATTTTTGAAATTGGAGTAGCAATATTTTTAACGATGGGTTGTGAAATTCTGCTCCAGAGCAGGTTTCGCATCGCTTTTGTAGGGGTTAACTCTAAATTCAGTGTATCCTAGCAACAGACAACCAGAAGCTTACCTCATTAAATATTCATGAAGTTTGTAGGCCTAAATATCAGCAACTCTCCCGCTGTGTTTAAAGTCCCCATCTGAGGAAAATGTCGGAAAATGAGTGCACATCACATGCATATATAGCACACACACACATTATTAGGCCTACTGTGTATATATATATATATATATATATATATATATATATATATATATATATATATATATATATATAAAAGTTAAAAAAGTACAATCAACGTTTAAGTATTTAGAGCTTAAATTACATTAAGCTGACTTAAAAAAATTTGCTTAATCTTAAAACTTATGAAAAAAGCTGAAAATCGCTTATATTTTGATGAGTTAAAGCAATGTAACAACATGTTTTGTCAATTTATTTGTCAATTTAAATATATGCTTAAGCAAACAAGCAATATATATATATATATATATATATATATATATATATATATAAAAGTTAAAAAGTACAATCAACGTTTAAGTATTTAGAGCTTAAATTACATTAAGCTGACTTAAAAAATTAGCTTAATCTTAAAACTTATGAAAAAAGCTGAAAATCGCTTATATTTTGATGAGTTAAAGCAATGTAACAACATGTTTTGTCAATTTATTTGTCAATTTAAATATATGCTTAAGCAAACAAGCAATATATATATATATATATATATATATATATATATATATATTATATATATATATATATATATATATAAAAGTTAAAAAGTACAATCAACGTTTAAGTATTTAGAGCTTAAATTACATTAAGCTGACTTAAAAAATTAGCTTAATCTTAAAACTTATGAAAAAAGCTGAAAATCGCTTATATTTTGATGAGTTAAAGCAATGTAACAACATGTTTTGTCAATTTATTTGTCAATTTAAATATATGCTTAAGCAAACAAGCAATATATATATATATATATATTGCTTGTTTGCTATATATATATAAAGAGAGAATAGGCAAATTTATTATTAGTATTTGCTTGTTTGCTTAAGCAGATTCTGACCTTTTTTAGATTAAAGGCACAGAATTTCATACATTTATGGTATGGGCTAATACTATAACAATATCGCAATATTAAGCATAATCTGTAAAAAAAAATGCATGTAAACGCACCTATTCAACACGTTAAATTTTAGATTTGTAAAGATAGAGATATCTTTGTATCATATGGTTGGCTACAATTATGCAAATGAAGAAGAATTAAAACAGGTCGCTGGATTTGTCCAATCAGTGCTGTTAACCCTAAATATGCAAATAAGGACGTTAATGCTAGAGGCTAACCCAGGGTTAAATAGACTATGAGCCGTGAAAAAACATGTAGATTCAACACATAACCCAGGATATCAAAATGCAGCAAAAACCAAAGAAAGAAAGAAAGAAAGAAAGAAAGAAAGAAAGAAAGAAAGAAAGAAAGAAAGAAAGAAAGAAAGAAAGAAAGAAAGAAAGAAAGAAAGAAAGAAAGAAAGAAAGAAAGAAAGAAAGAAAGAAAGAAAGAAAGAAAGAAAGAAGATACACTCTACAAAATATGAACACTCGGTATTAGGTTAGCGTTGTGTTATTTCCATTGGGAGCTGAACAAATAGGCTAGATAAGGTTTTGCGAATGTTATTACTTAGGACCAGGATCCACTAGGACCTGAACATGAGCGGAACTCCGGCGCTTTATGAAGATAACAGTGCCATCGTGTGGCTGCATTCATGTAGTTTGACTTGCATGATAAGGGATTTCCACAGATTCCGGAGACAGCCAGAAACTGCATTATTGCCCATTGTAGCACTTGGAAATAAGATCGCATCTCAGGAAAGTTTCAGCGAGAATTTTTAAAGCGGGGCATGTGCTCATTCAACCATACCAAGTTTTCTCATTATTATTACGGGTTATTAACGATATATCCAAATGCTTTACAGAACACGAGAAAACAATTAGGTTAAACTGTTCATATGAAGATGGGGAGAATGATCAAACTTGTTAGATGAGCCATATATAGTTTAAAAATAGAGAGGTGCTGAAATGGTGATGACAGGAGTAGGTTTGACAGCGTTACGGCTAAATGATTGTGATTCACACATCCAACAAACCGAAATTTGTTTTATTATTTGGCAGATGCTTCTAATCCAGGTCCTAGTCGTGAAGCAGCATGAGTTAGCTACATGATTTAAGTTTTTTTTTTTAATAAAATATATTTAACAAAAAAAAAATCACTTGCACAGTGTATTCCTGCAGTTGTGTACTTACAATATCCCAAAAGTTCCAAAAGATTTTTAATTTCAGAGAAATTCCCATTTTAAATGATGGCTCGTGCTCGTCCATGCTCACTTGTCGCCTGTCAATGGCGTAATATCCGCGTTACATCCCCGGCTTGTATTGCCATAACCCCGCTGGACCTCTAAAATCGTCAATGCTAGTGAATGAGAAAAAATATAATTATTTTCTAATCCCGTTTGAATTTTGCAATGAATGTGAACATATGTTGTCTGTGAATTTTTTATATAATTTTTCGTGTAAAGAATGCTACAATTTAGCGGGTAGAATTTTCATCCGGTTAGACTTTGTGTGAGACCATTTAATAAGAAGATACGTCATAAAGACAGTTCACTTCGTGTATACAGACTGGAGCCATCTTGGAAAACAGTCACGACAAGTCAAACCACAAACTTTTTTCTATGATGGCTCCTGTCTGTAGAGCCTAAGTCCCGCCCCTCCGCTTCCGCTCATGGGACCTTATTTCGGAAAAAATATGATTGGTAGTCAATGGCTTATCTTTTTATTCCGTCTGAACTGTGCCCTCAATTACACATATGATGTTTGTCAATTTAAAAGATAATTCTGAAAGTCAAAAACGTCACAGTTTGTCATTCAACAGAAGAGTAACATTTAGTTTTATGTGAAAATCGCTCTGTGAACTACATCTCCCGGGAAGCCGAAACGAGATCCGCTGCTCGTGTGTGTGCAGTCTGGTACAAAACACTCAGGTAGGATGGCGTAACGTTACGATTATAACGTAAGACTGTAGAAACAATGACAGACATTAGCCTCAGTAAAGTTAGCTTCATTCATTGAGAGAAAATGTGCGCCTTTGGGGTTTGTAGTCTTTGTAATTACGTATTTGCACAGTCTTATACCTCAACGGTTTTACATCAAACTGCAACTTTCTTTACTTTAAAATGTACATTTTAAATTGACAAACATCATATGTGTAATTCAGGGCACAATTCAAACGAGATCAAAATATTTGTTGCCATTGACTACCATTCAATATTTTTCCGAAATAAGGTCCCATGGTGGTCGACCAGAAGGGGAGGGACTAAGGCTCTCTATACACCAAGGTGGGTAATCCATAGACCGGAAGAATTAATGTCATTGGTTCTTGCAGAAACTCAAATGTGCTGCGTAACACGAGAATGAACCTCATTGGTTCTTACTGAAGCTCAAATGTGCTGCATAACATGAGAATGAATGTCCTCATTGGTTTTTGCACATCAAGCGAACATGCTTAAGCTTCCGTTTACCACAACTGATTTGTGCAAATTTTTGGGTGAACAATCCTTTTGAACATTTTTTGAACAAAAGATGTGGTTTGGAATTGGTAAAAAGTGCTTGGAAAAAAATATGATCAGAATATCGACTTGCATAACAAATATGTACACAGCATATAATGTGTTTTTTACAGCAAAATCCATCTTAAATTTTTTTTCTGGTAATTAGCGTTTAATGAAACAGGTTACAGAAACACACACTGGTGTTAAATGATACAACTGACATCCAAAAGAAAAATACACTTTCCCAAATAGAAATACAACTATATTCTAAAATGTCTATGTTGAAAAAGGTTTCATGAACATTACTCATGTTATTTGTCAACTACAAATAGAACAATCAATGCTTTTCAAAGAAATTGACTCAAACTACAAAACTAACTCACCCCTGCATCTCCCCTCGCCCCTCCCCTACAAATGGGCGGTTGTGCAGTCCATTAGTAGTTAATGGGGCAACAGGTGGGCAGTGCACTGAGGCCTAAGGGTTCAGAGACCTCATTGAGTAAGTGATACTGAAAAATAGCCACTCGCTGCTCCTACCACAGGGGTCCCATTAATCTGGATGGCTGGAAACTGAGAGGACATCCTATGAGCCTTGATCTCGACCCTCTGACCCAAACACTGTCATTCGTTTTTATTAGTCTGGAGTCAAATGTTAATCACATCTAAGCATTGACGGATCTTTTAGTGCTGCCAGACCTGTGCAGGCACCATGAACGGGAAAACAAGCAGTTGTGGACGCTCTCCTGACTACCTTAAATCAATGTGAAAGGGGGTTCCAAGCACATTCCCCCAAAAGACCCCTTCCTATGTATTTCCACCTAAAGCGCACTTCATCATGCATTTGCCACTCTGAGAAGAGACAGGAATGTAAGAGAGGTAGAGGTCAAATTGGAAAATGGATACTGCAGATATGATGAAAAACATGAAGCTCATAAAAACAACACAAATATAAGTTCATTTCTGCATGGATTGTTTGTTTTCCGTATGAAAAATAGTCGCTAATAATCTACTAACCTTGAAATCAGGCTATTGTTGTGGCTTCAACGGACTTTGCTCTCTGGTGACTGGTGATGGGCTGAAGGCAGAGCGGTTACTGAGCTAATAATGCTGTTTCCTCAAAGTTCACAACCTTTGCTACCACTGACCAGCGCTGTTGATGGTATATGCTGCTTTCCATTCAAATTCCTGCTTGATATTGCCGACTCCCGACCACAGAGATCTTCCTTATGTTAGTACAGATGATGATATAAAGAAAAAACCTCGCAGCAATACCATTAGCTTTGCAGGAGTGAGACTGTCAACAAGTCTCGCAACCCAAACTGCTACGCTGGCATTCTTCAGGTGATTAATAACGAAGGTGTTTTTCAGATCTGTCTCTGCAAACATTAAAATACGCTCCACTGTCGAAATCTTATTGAATTACTCTTATTGAATTACTTTTAATTGATTTTATTTGATTAAAAATAAATGTTTTTACACACTTTTTTAAAATTATTTTATACAGTATTAAATGTACCGTTAGTATAATCTGAATGTAATGTTTTCGGGCAATTAATTGCATGTTTATTTGAATTGAAAATTAATTATAGTTTGAAATTAGCTGACCTTTAGATTTTTTTTTTTGACCCACTTAAATAGGAATTAAAGGTAGGCTACACCATGCAATTTATTTTATTTTTTTAATTTACAAAATTTTCATCACCAATCCTTCTTCCAAGTGTGTTTTTGTCTTACTCACTATGGTACGCCTATTATAAGAGTGTAAATTTTAGACTGGGCAGAATGTTTTTTTTGTTTTGTTTTTTTTTTCGGTGGGAAATTGAGAACATATGCACTCTAAACAATGCTGGGTTGTTTTAACCCAAATTTGGGTCAAATATGGACAAACCCAAATGCTGGGTTAAAAATGTGTAATGTCGTAAGTGTACTTCTTAGCATGATAAAAATACATGATGTAAAATGTACTTTAAAATAAAACTTTTCATTTGAAAGAAAAGTGTACTCTCTTTAAATACACTTAATAAGTCTTTTATTTAATTCATATTATATTACCTGAAAATACATTAAAAAAAAAAGAGTTTACAATTTTAAGTACACTACAAGTGCACATTCAAATCAAGCACACTTCTTTTTGACAAGGGGAAGGTAACACAGCATAATACTTCAATAGAGCGTCTTTAATCCCTGAGCTTAAGCCATGAATCACCTCCTCGCTGTATGATGTAGCTTTTTGTGATGCAAATGTTGTTATCTGATATTCTTTTTTATTCTGTTAGCACTGATTAAGAACAAAGCAAACTGAGGCTAACAGGCACAGTTGTTGTTAAAGGTATCAAGTCCAGGTTGTGACCTGTAGCTGGACCCTCCCACTATCTACAGGGGAAGTTCATACAGAACATATGTGATCAGCCAAGGCCACAACTTCTTCACAAAGAGTGTCATCTTACCATCTATTGAGACAAAGTTTTGTTTGAAGCTGTGTCTCTTACCACCAATAAAGAACTTCATTAACAGTGTGTGTTGCTTCGTAGACTGACTTCTAAAGCATCTAATGTTAGAGGCCAAGAGCACTGTTATTAGCAACCTGTCTGTGCATGGCACATGAGTACTGGGACTAAGATGCTCTTCCAGACTGGGGCAATTCAGAGACTGCGAGTTCAATCTTTAAAGGGTCCTGGAGTCATGGCTCTGTCTTACACCCTGGCAAATGAAAACGCTATGGAATTTGCAAGTCTGAACTAGAAAGGTTGATTCTAGGTGGATAGGGTGACAGAAAATGATGGCTATCTCCACAGCTTTGAGACGCTAAATGCAGGGAAGGGTGATGGACCTGATAAGCCAGTGAGAAGATTGACCTCCTCATTACTCTTGGCGTCACTCCAGACATATATTTATCGCCTTTCCTGTTTGCAATGAGCACACAATATATGTGGGTTTTGGAAATTTTAAATGAAGTTACAAAAATGCCTCATCTGACAAGTAAGATCTAAATAGATTGGAGACCAGGTGAAAACGTTTCAGTGGACAGCTGTCAAGTTTAATCAAGCTTAAGATAAATATAGCCATAGGTCACCAAAATGAACATTCTGAACATATAGCTGCACTGGTCTGACGAAATAAAGGCCACGCTTCATACAGATGTCTTTGTCGTTTATTTCGTACATATCTCTCTCTCTCTCTCTTCAGTTGACACCATAGACACCGTGAAAACTACAAAAAATGAAAACATATATTCAAAATATGCATTTCTCAGTCCTTTGCAAGTTTCTCGTGCCAATGTCCCATGATATGAAAGTGAATCACAAAAGAAATATGACGAATCCAATCAACATCATGCATGTAGAATAATATAAAACATTATAAACATTATGAAATATATATAAAGGTAAATTACCGTGTGCGCCTCTCAAACCATGCAGATTAAGCAACTCTTTTCAGACCACATGTCATTTCTCTGCATTCATGTTCGTTCTGACCCAAAGTGACGCAGAACCGCTACAAACTGAACCGGGTCATGTGACATCACGTTTTCTACGTAAATCCTCCTTAAAGAACCCCTAACTTTAAAACGCCTAAGGCATTTTACATACATTTTAAATATCCGCTTCTGAATATCACAATTGTATTTAAATGAACTCAAATTTACATCAATTTATAAAAAGAAACAAATACACATCTCAACAAATACTTGTCCTTAGACAGTTACACTCCCACCAAATTACCATAATTTATAATGAACTTGTACACAAGTTTGAATAAATTTAGTAATTTCACAAAACAAATTTCAGAACCATATAGAATGTTCTCTGACTCTTGGCATCAAGACTAATATTTAAACTCTTAATACTTCAAACTACCAACTTGTGTTGGAGAAAGAGATTAGTTCCATTGCTTAAGATTTAATTGTTTTCTACAAGTACCACTAATTTGTGAATAGGACGTTCAAGGATGGATGGATTTGTAACTTAACTTTCTATTTCCTATTTGTATTGTGGTTTTCCGCACCAGGCCATCTTCATCTTTGCAAACATCAATCACTCTTCCAAGTCTCCATTCATTGCGTGGAACTCCTTCCTCTTTGACGATGACGATATCCCCAATCTTCACATTGCGTCTTGGAGTATGCCACCGTTGTCTGAGAGTGATGTTTGTCAGATATTCCTTCCTCCATCTACTCCAAAATTGCTCTGTCAGAAATTGAACTCTGCGCCACCTTTTTCTTCCATACAGGTCTTCTTGCACAAATTTCCCTGGTGGAGGCAGAGGAACAGAGGATTTCATGGTGAGTAAATGGTTTGGGGTAAGTGGTTCTAACCCCTTGGGATCATTGATTGTATCTGTGGTGAGTGGGCGGCTATTAATGATCGACATAGCTTCATAAAAGAAAGTTCTCAAGGAAGCATCATCCAATCTTCCAGAGCTTTTCGAAAGAGCCCAGCTTAGAACGCTCCTAATTGTTCTGATCTGCCTTTCCCACACGCCTCCCATGTGACTGGCATCAGGTAGGTCATTATGAAGTCGCATTGCTTTTGGGAAAGGTAAGCAGTCATTCTGTCCTTGTCCAATTCCTTCAAAGCCTTTGTCAGCTCATTTTTCGCCCCAACAAAATTTGTCCCCTGATCCGATCTGATTTCTCTTACAGCTCCACGGATAGCTATAAAACACCGCAAGGCATTTATGAAGGCATCAGTTGTGAGATCTTCCAACATCTCAATGTGAATTGCTCTTGAGGAGAAACAGGTGATTATGAGACCATATCTCTTATGCTCTTTACGACCTTGCTTGACGAGAAATGGTCCGAAACAATCCATTCCACAATAAGAGAATGGTGGAGAGGAATCAACACGGCTAGCCGGTAGATCCGCCATCTTTTGCATCTCTGTTGACCTGCGATCTCGCCTGCATGCAACACATTGCTTAATGTAATTTGCCACAACTTTACTGCCACCAACAATCCAGTAACCATTTGCTCTCAATTCATTGAGGGTCTGTCCTCTGCCTTGGTGCTGAGTTTTTTCATGGCAGTAACCCAAGATAAGACGTGTGACTACACTATCTCTCGGGAGGATTGCTGGGTGTTTCGAGTCAAGAGACAAGGAAGCTTTCTTCAGTCGTCCTCCCACCCTGAGAACACCATCATGCAGAACTGGGTCAAGTTGGTATAATGGATGACAATGTGGCAATTTGCCATGACTCAGTTTTTGCATCTCATCTTTGAAGGCATTCTTTTGTGCCAACCTTACAAGCACGACACTGGCCTTTCTCATGTCCTCAACGTTTATGGGTTGAACGGTTTTGTATCTTGCTAATTGCTGGATACGAACAACAACTTTCAATGCTGTGTGCCATTTTGAAAACCGATCAAACCTCTCCAGAAAATGTTCATCTTCTACTACCTTTGTTTGTAGTACTTGTGTCGTTCTGATTTCAGGATCGCCAACAAGAAGCTCTGGCGTTGTCTTTGGTGAGATAATTTCCTTTTCCCAAAGAAACTTGGGTCCCGTTAGCCAATTTGAGTGAATCAGATCTAACACCTTGAGGCCCCTGGAGGCATGATCCGCTGGATTTTGATCCGAGTTTATGTAATGCCACTGAGCAGAGTCGGTTGTTTCACGAATTCTTTGAACTCGATTCGCCACAAAAACGTGAAACCTGCGTGCTTCATTGTTAATGTAGCCTAAGACTACTTTTGAGTCGGTCCAAAAATATTCTTGATCAATTTTGAGCTCCAGCTCCTCCTTTAACATGTTACTGACCGCTGAAGAGATCACTGCAGCTGTCAACTCAAGCCTTGGTATGGTCACGACTTTTGTGGGGGCAACTCTTGCCTTGCCAATAACAAAGGAGCAGTGCACTTTGTCTTCACTCAACACTCGGATATATGAGCACTGACCATAGCCATAACTACTCGCATCCGAAAAGTGATGGAGTTCAATCCTCTGGATAGTCCCTAGGTGTTCAGGAGCAAAACATCTCATAATCTGGAGATTTTGCAGGTTTTTTAGATCGTTCAGCCAGCTTGTCCATTGTGGCATTAACTCTTCAGGCAGAGGTTCGTCCCATCCTATGCCCTTTTGGCACATCTCCTGCAGTATTCTTTTTCCTAATAGAAGGAAAGGAGCCAGGAAGCCTAGTGGATCAAACACTGACGCCACAGTGGAGAGGATTCCTCGCCGTGTTGCTGGTTTTTCATCCAGGGCAACTTTAAAGGAAAAGGTGTCACTATTTACATTCCACTTTACTCCCAACACAGTCTGAACTGGGAGTTCACCAGAACCAAGGTCCACATCCTGAGCTTCGCTGGCTCTTTCGCTGACAGGAATTGAATCCAAAACCGTTCTGTTGTTGGACATGAACTTGTGTAGACGCAATTTCCCTTTTGCACACACATTTCGGGCTTCTTGGATTAGTTTGACAGCTGCGTCCACATTTTCTACACTAATGAGCCCATCATCAACATAGAAATTCTTTTTGATGAAGCTGGCTGCTGCAGGATACTCGCTTTCATTTTGACATGCAAGGTACTTCATTCCATAATTCGCGCAGCCAGGTGAGGATGCTGCCCCGAAAAGATGGACTTTCATGCGATACTCCTTTGGCTCTAAATTTGTATCGCCGTTTTCCCACCAAAGGAACCGCAAGAAATCTCTGTCTTCCTGGCTCACATGGAATCTGTGGAACATCCTTTCTACATCACAAATAACTGTAACTGGATGTTTGCGAAACCTGCAGAGTACCCCTGTAAGCCCATTAGTGAGATCAGGTCCAGTTAGCAAGTGATCATTTAAAGCAGTGCCGTCATACTTGGCAGAGCAGTCGAACACAACTCTAATCTTCTCTGGCTTTCTAGGGTGGTACACCCCTTGGTGGGGAATATACCAGACGTTTCCTGCCTTAGGTTGATGTTCAGCTCTCTCCGCATCACCATCATTGACGACACTTTCCATAAATGTAACATAGTCACTCTTGAATTTGGGGTTTTTCTCAAATTTTCCTTTCAAACGTTTCAGCCGCACAAGAGCCAGCCGCTTATTTTCAGGTAATTGTGGGCGTGTCTTGAAGGGGAGTGGCATCTGCAGGTGTCCCTCTGTATTCTGGTGAATTTTTTCATTCAGCAATTGCATGAACTGTATATCGTCTTGCGATATGGTCTTTTCTTTTGGGTTGGTATCTCTAAAGTCTGATTCAAGGGCTCTGATGACAGCTACAGGAGTCAGTATTGGAAGTTCCTTAACAGATACACGGTGACACAGACCTGTGACTTCTGTCGACTTTACAACCTGTAGCGAACTCCCAACAATACTCCAACCCAGGTCAGTCCTGATGGCATACGGCTCATTATCACCTCCTGTGATGACTTGTCGAGGCACTAAAGCTCTTGAGCAGTCATAACCTATTAGAAGTCCAACCTTACAATCCAACAGCTCTGGTATTTCCTGTGCTATTTTATTCAGATGTAGCCACCTTCTTGCAGTTTCAGAGGTAGGAATGTGGGAACGTTCAAGTGGGATGAAATCTCTGGTATAGGAAGGTGGCAAATTAATTAAGCTATGAGAGGAAAAACCCCTTACTCTGAGCCCGCTAACTCTTCCACTTTGAACGACAGAATCCTTTCCCATCATTGTAGTAAGCTTTAACTTGACAGGCTCTGAAACTTTCTCCATCCTCTCACATACCTCTTGATCTACAAAGGTGTTGCTACTCTGGGTATCTTGTAGGGCATAAACTAAAATCTCTCTTTCAGGATTGTCAATTGAAGAAATCCATACAGGCACAATCATTGATGTGCTCCCACCATTAGCACTGTCTACGCAACAGGAAAGGGAAGATGTGTTTTCTTCTGTTTGCACAACATGAGAACGTGCTGAAGAAGAAGGACGGTCTTCATGAAGTGGTGTTGGATGATGTTTCTTGCATATATTACAAGTAGCTTTACTCCTGCAATCCTTTGAATTGTGTCCTTTCCTAAGACAGCCAAAGCACAGGTTATTGTCAAATATAAACTTTCTCTTGTCCTCCAAAGACTTACTAGCAAACGTTTGACATTTGTAGATGGAGTGATTTTCCCCACAACACCTGCAAGTGACTTGGTATGAAGGACTAGGAGCTGCGCTTACTTTATGGGGTCTGTTTGAAAACACGGTGTCGCTTCCCTCAACACTGTATGTTTTCGGCACTGTGCTTGATTTGTCTGATGCTTCCACATTTGTGATGAATGCATTTGCCTTTGAACGCTTAACTTCTCTAGATGGCCTTTCTTCAGAGAGCTTCAAAGCGTGCAAGGATGTTACAGGGTTGCAGGCTATTTCTGCTTCTTGGGCCAGAAATTCAGCAAACTCCTTGAAATTAGGATATTCTTCTGCTTCTCTCAACTGCATTGTAACATGGCGATTCCAACGAGACGTCACCCAATCAGGAAGTTTTTGTAGCATTTTTCGATTCTCTTCACAGTCATTTAACACCTGAAGCCCTTTGACGTGTGGCATGGCATTGCTGCAGGCAGTCAGAAAGTCACTTAACTCTCTCAGTTTAACTGATTCTCTTGAACCAATCTTCGGCCAGTTATTCAGTTTTTCTCTAAAAGCACGCTGAATTACAAATGAATGGCCGTACCTAGAATTCAATGCTTCCCATGCTTGATCATAGGCTTCATTGTCCTTTCTGTAGAAGCTGCCTTCCAATACAGATCGTGCCTCACCGCTGACATATTTTTGTAAATAAAACAACTTATCAGCTGAATTTGTACATCGCTGTTCTATCAATGCCTTGAAACTTGTTCTCCACTCTAAGAACTTAAGTGGGTCTCCTGAGAAAACTGAGGGCTCTGGTGCCGGAAGTCTGCTGAGAACCATTGTGTCGTGTAGAGCTTGTACTACTGAGGCGGCTTCTCTATCAGAATGAGTTGTTTTTTCCTCTTTAATCTCATTAAAAGATACTGGAGGACAATTAACTACCTCCTTGTGTGCTGTTCTGCTTTCGTTCTTGGACTCATCCGAGTCAGCTTCAGAGTATGCTTTGAGCTTTGCGGCTATTACTTGAAGATCTCGCTCATTTTCCAATCTTTTAAGTTCTCGTCTTTGTACAGCAATAGCCTCCTCCATCTTTATTTCTGCCTGCTTTGCAGCCAACTGTGCGGCAAACTCTGCTCTTTTTGCGGAGATGCTTTGCTGTTCGGATGAGCAGCTTGAACGGTGACTACGAATAGAAGACTTGGAGCTTGTCGCTGAAAATATTGACTTAGCATACTCTTTGTCAAGCACCATACGAATTCTGGCATCTTCTGCACTAGCATCAAATTCCTCTTGCCCCACTTCACTCATACGTACTTTCATCAGCCCCATCAAATCTGCTGTAACTGCTGTGCAGGAATCAATTTTTCTTCTAATCTGAGTTGAAGGTACTGCTTGAGATCGTATAAGTTCATACACATTTTTCACTTGAGTTTCCAGCCCTTCAACACTATCCATCATGTCACCCAAGTCTTGATCAGAGCACTCATCCCTCAGTTTGGTACGTACAGCTCTTACTTGCTCTTTCCAGCTTTCATACAACTTAATGAATTTACTCTCCTTCTGAGAAATTTCTTGCTGCTTAAGCTCTTGCATTTTTGGAGTTAATTTTCTCTCTCGTGAAGATTTCCTGGGTTCATCTCCTTTTGAAGTGGTAGCAGTAGGTTTTGCTATTTGAAGTGACTGTATTTTAACCTGAATATCAGCTATGAGTGACTCTAATTTTTCCTTTTCAGCATCATCAGTTTGAATTTTTAACTGTTCAATTAAGCTACTCAACTCTGCTTTAAGGAACTCAGTTTGCTCACTTGATTCATCATATTGAGATTTTTCTCCATGAACTGACATTGCAAAGGTTTTTAGCAAAACACTTTTGTGTTACTTAACTATTCTCTGATATGAAAAACCTTTCAAAAATTATTCACCACTACGTCCATTGTAAAGCATTCACACCAATTGAGCTGTAAAGATTAAACAAAATGCAAATAATTTATCTTTACTTTGTACCTTTTTTAGTCCATAAAGATGTAAGAGCAGCACAGTCTAATCATCAGCTGTAAATTGCAGAGCAACACTCTTCGGCTTGTCGCAGCGATGGAGTAAACAAACACTGTTCTCTGAAGCCTGTTCAAAAGATACTTGCAAAACTGGAGTCTACGCTGTTACATCTCGCCCTCTACTGGTCGGGTCGCGGTACTTCCTTTACGGTGACAACTAACGGCAAGCCTCGTCTCTGACGCTTTCTCTCCACGCTATCGTGCTTTGTTTCCGTATCTGACGTCTCTTCTGTACGCGAATGCCCCACGATCTCGTTTCCTCTTCTCATCCAGCCGATGCCGTTCCACTCTTTGAGCCGTCCGGCTGTAATGGCGTTACGTTTTCACTATAGCTGCACTGGTCTGACGAAATAAAGGCCACGCTTCATACAGATGTCTTTGTCGTTTATTTCGTACATATCTCTCTCTCTCTCTCTTCAGTTGACACCATAGACACCGTGAAAACTACAAAAAATGAAAACATATATTCAAAATATGCATTTCTCAGTCCTTTGCAAGTTTCTCGTGCCAATGTCCCATGATATGAAAGTGAATCACAAAAGAAATATGACGAATCCAATCAACATCATGCATGTAGAATAATATAAAACATTATAAACATTATGAAATATATATAAAGGTAAATTACCGTGTGCGCCTCTCAAACCATGCAGATTAAGCAACTCTTTTCAGACCACATGTCATTTCTCTGCATTCATGTTCGTTCTGACCCAAAGTGACGCAGAACCGCTACAAACTGAACCGGGTCATGTGACATCACGTTTTCTACGTAAATCCTCCTTAAAGAACCCCTAACTTTAAAACGCCTAAGGCATTTTACATACATTTTAAATATCCGCTTCTGAATATCACAATTGTATTTAAATGAACTCAAATTTACATCAATTTATAAAAAGAAACAAATACACATCTCAACAAATACTTGTCCTTAGACAGTTACAGAACATTTACTCACCTTCACGTTGTTCAAAACACTTTTTATAAAAAAAAAAAAGAATTTTGCTGAAGGTCTCAAGCTGTTTTGTGATGAACATTTCAGGGTTACGCTTTATTTAGATGGTGCACTTTAGACATTCTATTAACTAATAACTTTGCAACTAACTCCTTTTTTCATACATTTCTTTCTTGAGACTGATAGTTTTCCTGAAACTACATTATGTAGCTTTAAAACAGTAATTGATTGCATTTTGAAATGAGTGAAGCCAATGATGCCAACCATTTTAAACTGGGTTTACAAAGGGACAGGGAGACTGCCTTGGTCCGAGTTATGAATGACTTGCTTGTCTCCGCTGACTCTGGAGCCTCTACTATCTTGGTGTCGTTAGTTCGGTGTAGAATTTGACAAAGTGTCCCACTCCATTCTGCCCGATAGGCTTGAGAGTTGGCTTGGTATCTCTGGTACTGTGCTGAAATGTTTAAATTCGACCTTACTGATCGTCTTGGGAAACAACAAATCTGACACTGGTGTTCCTCAGGGTTCTGTCTTGGGTCCTATAATGTTTAGTATTATATGCTTCCTCCGGGGCAAATCAGTAGGAAATATGGCTTAGGCTATCGCTTCTATTCAATGCTGTTACTACAGCAGTTTAATAAACAATAATTTAATCACAACTACAAAATGTTGCAGAATAATGTAATATAAAAATTAATGAATAATAGCCTATAAAGAACCATTGTGCCAAAAGGCACTTTATCCCTTTTTAGCATAAAGGTTCTTTGGAGTTGAGTAAAGAACCCCATGTTTCATAAAACCCCAATTAATCATTTTTTCGAAGAGTGAAAGTAACAAAATGTTAAATTTTAGAACTTTATATTTTTGAAACTTAATATTTAAAGGTCAGATCAGGAACTTCTATATTACAGTTTATGACTCAAAATATTATAACCAAACTGGCTAACTGAGTCATGCCTGCAGTCAAATGAATCACCAAACTGGAATTCTCAGACTAACAGTGATTATAATTACGTCTAGATTTATCTATTTCAGATGTTTGACACTTTTGTCCTTCAGACCTTCTGAGAAGCAATCTTAAACAGTCTGGGACTGCCAAAGTCAGTCTGCAGGTGACAGGTACTATCCTCGGGCAAGAACCACACATGCAGCATAACATCTTAAATTAGCAGTGTCTAGTGCACACCTCAACACACAGCTTAAGAGGAATGACCAAAGGTGTGCAGCAGTGTGTGTGCAAGGTAAAACAGTGAGATCAGGCAGCTGTTCAGGAAAAAACGTAATTTTTCATCATAAGCAGGAAGTTACCACATTACCAACAAACATTACCTCATTACCCAGATAGCAAACTGAATTTGAATCAACGTGGAAATGACATCGAAACAACGTTGATCTGACATTGTTTTGCTCATCGAATTAACGTTGAAGCAACGTCAGACGCGTCATTCTTTCAAAACTAACGGAAAATCAACTTGAAATCAACGCGTTGTTTCAACGTTATGAAAGCAAACCAATTTTCGATTTCATTTAGCTTTGAAGAATGCCGCGTCTGACGTTGGTTCAACGTTAATTCGATGAGCAAAATCAACGTTGTTTCAATGTCATGAGAGACGTCGTTTCCACGTTGATTCAATGTCAGTTTGCTGTCTGGGTATTCAAGGGTGTGGGACCCACTCACCCTACAGGCCTATTAGAGATCAGTTGGTGGGTCTTCAATTGCAAAAAAATGAAACCAATATCCGCCATCTTGTTTTTGGAAGCTAAGCTAACAAGCACTGTGGAGATAGGAAGTATGACAAAGACAGAAGAAACTAAACATGATATGGAAGAGGATTTTGAAATTCTGTTGCTCGAATCCGATGTTCGTGGCTATCTTTACGAGATGCAATATAGTGACGAGCAGCTGAGGCTGATGGAGGAGCAGGAGGCGGACACGGAGCCCAGACTGGCTCAAGCTGAGGCGGACTGCTGTTGCCTGTGCTCTCGCTGTGAACTACGAACACAGATAGTCCGTCTGCTGCAGAGAATTTCCACAAAGGCAATTTCTCCTGAACGAAATCTCTGAATCAGACGAACACATGGACGTTTGTGTTGTAAACCATTCTAGTTTCACCTGACTGAAGGCCAGGTATCATGCAGTAATTCACCATGTAGAAAGAAATACAAACGAGGAGTAATTCACTAATGAGTTTGTTAACGGGGTTTATGGGAAGAAGGAGGCGGGAACTGGCGAACATTTAAACATTTTAACAGTTAAATGAACAAATAAAAAAAATAAATGAACAAAACAAAAGTATAAGCCAGCAGCCACTCATTGACGACTGCTGTAACGTTACACACAACAGAAACAAAACACAACATAAAATCAGGCCTGTTCCTCTCTCGATCTGCCGTCGTTGCTCCTCTGTGAGAGATGCGAGACCGGTCGGTGCGTCTCGGTCTTTCATTATCACTCACGCCACCGGCCTCGCACTGCACGCCCCTCGCCCTCATCCTGCTCGCCACAGCCAACAAACTAGAAATTTTGTGTTAAATGAATTTCAAACTCTGGTGGCAGCTAACGTTAGCCTTGTAGACGAAAAGTGGCGCATTGTGAGCCTTTTAGCGTTCCATAGGCTTGCCATACAGGGGCGCCTTTGGCATCTTGATTCTAAACGCCAGGTGCATTTGACCATGCTTCAGTTTTTGATGTGTTTGGAGTGAGAATGGGTTGCTAAACACAGTTGGTTGCAGAAAAAAAACCAAAAACAATTTCACTAAACAACCTTTATTAACCATCTCGTATAAAAAGCACTGAATTGAACGTAAAGAATGTTATTCAAAATCATCTTGACACAAAAAACTGTCGCTGGGGAGTGGATTGAATTTTTTGACAGGCTTCGCTGGAGGCTTCGGCGGTCTGACTGCAAGGATACAGATAATCCACTTTAGACAGTCCATTAAGTCTCAGATATACAGCACAAAACATTAAGCATGAATAGCAAGTGAATTGTATTTGAAGTTATCTTTATTTTTTTTAAAGCCATCCTGTGCTTGGAACTGTGCTAAATGGGCTAAATTGAGTGGATGAGACAATTATAAAGAGACATAACGTTAATATATACATAACCCCAAAAAACACAACAATATACTATAGTCTCCAAGTTTCATGGTTAGTTCAATGTGTTAAATGCGGTTTCTTAGCAATTATTTGCGAAATTTACTAGCAAAGCGTCTTCACTGTTTCTTTTGGGAGACCTCTAGCATCCATCATTAATTGAAACTCACCGGAAACAGGCGCCACACACACGTACCCACGGGGATATGAACAGCATATGTATCCTCCAGAGCAGTCTCTGTCAGAAGTACATCCTTGATAGTCCAGCTTGGCCGTCAGCCTGGCCGGACACTGACCGGAACCTACAGAGGAGGATTCAGAAGGATTGTTAGGCCAGGGAGTGCTGGAATAGTTTCAGCGTTTGTAAATTAGTCTCGCTACATGCGTCTCAAACTCGAAAATATTCATATTTATCGGCTTCAAATCAAGTGGAAAGACCACTCATCACTAAACTGCTAATTAATTTCAAAGACAGAATGATTTGTCACAACAACCTACCCAATAGCATGTAAAAGAATATTGGGAAGGTTACTTTAGAAATGTAGTGGTCAATGATCACAAGTTAAGCCATTTAAATGTGTATTAGTAATTAGCAGTTTATTTAAAGTAATGCAACTGGATTAATTTTCTAAATTTCTAACAAGCATTTTCAACTTAATCATTTTCAAACATTAAAGTAAGTTAACCTTACAGTACTGAACACTGTCAGACTTCAATTCTTCACTTAGGTGGCAGCTCAAACAATGCTCAACTATGGTTGCAAGTTCTCTCACAACCGAGAGTTCAATGAAAATTGCAATCATAGTTAGCCAACAATGCCTTTAGGAAACACACCCCAGGTTGAAGCGGCAATGTGGATAGATATAATTGGCAGAGTGGTGCGCTGCAAATTCAAACAAGAGAACCAATCAAAATCATCAGAATAGCATCGCTTTACCAAAGCACCTTTAATGTAGGAGGCATCGTGCACATCAAAAACAGGCAAAACAACAAATCAATATTCAACATAGCCTGTCCTAGCTTTTTTGTACAGAAAATTTTCAACCCCCGTTGTAGTTTTTAACATTGTCATAACTTAAATAACCTAGGCCTACTCATTTCTCTGTAACTAGGTTACGTTACAATTAAATTACACAACGTTACATTTAACTAGTTATTCCCCAACACTGAACATATAAATACAATACTGATAGAAGACATAATGTTGTTCATAAGTTTACTATGGTGTTAAAAAAAAGAGGCTACTTTGTAATGTACTTATTTAGATTTTTCTTTGGGCTGCGTAATGAAAAGATCTTCTCACCTGCAGCTCTGAAGTATGTTGCGCTCGAACATGGAGACAGGCACAATAAAATAACACTCAGCGAGCAGCAGTACACTCGCGCTGTTATCATCTCGACGGGCGATCTAACAACTCTGCTGGAAAACAGCTGAATTAGGCTAGTCAGTCAGGGCGTTTTTTGAAAACGCGTTAAGGTCTGGGCAACTCCAATCCTGATCAAATTCACCTGTCTGTAGCAATAGGCTAATCTTGAAGACCTTGATTAGCTTGTTCAGGTGTGTTTGATTAGGTTTGGAGGAGATGAATGACGTATGTTGTAATAATCACTGTGATTAAGGGATGATTGAGCAAAACATCGCCAAAATGAATTTGCAGGGGTCAGATAGTACAGCTATCATGTGGTACAAGTCGGGCCTACAAGTTTAAAAGTTGTAATTAGGACTCCAAGTCTCACCTAAACTCTGCAGGAAAGGGATCTCAACAACTGGAAACGTTTGGCATTAATCGGCATATCAAGAGAGACAGCATAGACAGATAATAATCCACCTGGACAGTGTTTTTTTGGGTAAAGGCCCTGCTGTTAGGGCCAAAGGCACAATAATTAACATAATAAACAGGTTGACTTTTCCATTTGTTGACATGACATGGTTAGATTCAGATGGTAAATATCAAATATAATGTTGGCTGTCCACTTAAGAGATAATCATCATTTATAATGAAACTATCATATTTAAAGATATTATATAATAGTCAGTCATCTTTATTAATATAGCACTGTTTACAATACAGACAGTTTCAATAATTGTTGATTACAGTGATAGCAGGAAATTAATACAAAAAAAAATGTTGGCTGTACAGCAGTTAGCGTCATAGTCAAAATAACGTCTAGCTAAAGTAAGTTCAGTGATGGAATTCTGTTGAAAAAAGTTATTAAATTAGTTGATTTATCTATACAGCCTCTATACAGTGATGTCATCGTCCTGCTCAGTTCAGTTCAGTTAAAACAGCATCTATGCAGTCAGATCAATAATATTGTTGAATATTAAGTGTCTAGTTGACACAATCTCTGCTGATACTTCAGGGATGCGTTGTGGTCGTGTCTAAGCCCAGGTCCTCCATCTGATCTGGATACGGCCCGGATCCGGCTGACTACATCATGCGTTGTGAACATGTCTAGGCGCAGGTCCTCCGTCTGATTTGGAAACGGCCCGGATCCGGCTGATTACAGTAAACCTCAGGATAAACAGAGAAGATAATATTAGCGTAAATGTCATTCTTCTTATGATGTAACGAGTACATCGGGTGTAATAGGAAATGTTCCCGGTTCAGGCTGACCTATAGTTTATGCAGCCATTACAATCATTTAACTGTTTGAATAATAGAAACTGACAATGTTCTATGTGTATGCCAGGTTAAAGAGATGTGTTTTAGTCTAGATTTAAACTGATAAGTGTGTCTGCTTCTCAAACAATGCTATTCCAAATAATAAAATATCATATTAAATTGTTATACTATAAATTATTATGGGATCTCATTCAATGGTTTTATAATCTTTTTAAAGGGATAGTTCACTTTGAAATTACGTTTTGATATGTTTTAGCTTACCTCAAGGGCATCCCAAGATGTCTTTGTTTCCAAAAAAAATATTTTTGTCATATAATGGAGGCATATACCTCCATTATATGACTGACAGACAAGAACGGTTTGACCTAAAAATATAAAAATTGAAAACACCGTGGAAACAAAGATACCTACATCTTGGATGCCATTGAGGTAAGCTAAAACATATAAAAAAATAATTTTTAAAGTGAACTATCCCTTTAAAAAAATTTGTTTCTAAAATGAACATTATGGCGAGGAGGGTATGGTTCCGTGAGGTCTGTTAAGGCCAATTTATACTTCTGCGTCGAGGGTACGCCGTTGTGAACGGCGTTGGCTACGCACGTAGGCGACGCCTTTGTGAGCATTTATACTTCTGCGTTCAGGTCTTGGTTGTTCTGCAGTACTGCTCCGAAACGCTAGTTGGCGGCGGAGGGTTTTAATGTTCCACTGTTTACATTCCCCGAGTTGCGGCTAGGTTATTACAAGCCTGAAAGAGAGCGGATCATGTTGGAGTTGGAGCTTATTGAGGTGGAAAAACAGTTAATTTTAGTGAAATTACTAAAACTGAAAGGCAGAAATGAGAGAAGACGTCGGAGGAGATGGTACGTGTGGAAATGCGTGAGAAGGTACGTGCGGAAATGTGTAGGAGGAAATGCGATGCTACCAAGCCGACCAATCACAGATCTTGCGGTCCGCGTCGCCGCGACGTGTAGTTACATTTTTGAGGAGGTGCGCGTCAGGCTACGGCGAAGGGTACGCGGTATGGGACGCGTCTCTGCGTATGCTACGCCGTACCTACTGCGCGCACCCTACGCAGAAGTATAAATTGGCCTTTAAGCCTAGTTCACACTACATGATTTTAAAACGTTGGGCTGAACTGTACGTTTCACACTACATGACTTACTCTCTGTGAAATCAGGAGTGTTTAAAGCCTAGTTCACACTTCACACAACATGATTTTAAGCCCGATTTGCAAATCGTTGAGCTCAGCGACAGGTCAGGGTGTTATCAAGTGCAAATTGCGGGGGATTAACGGGCGATGAACGCTGGCCAATCTGTTAGTACGAAGGAGCCAACAACGCATCAAAGACGCCATAGAGCTTGCTAGATATCCAGAGTTGTTGCACGACTCAACCTCACATGATGTCATGAGCTACAGCCAATCAGAGCAAGGCATGGGTTGAGGTCACCAGGTAAATCTTATTTTTTTCTTTTTTTCAGGTCTTGTTAAAACAAAATCACTTGTTTTAGTTTGAGACTGATTTGTGAAAGCTTTCACAGTCGTTTTTAATTCGCATTCCAGTGTTTCTCACTGCTCTGTTCCCCTTTTCTTGTAATAAATACAAACATGCAGTGCCAATGAATAATGGCCCAAGCCATTAGATAAACCAGAATTTAAGTTTAATAAATGTTCATCTAGTCGGGTCATATTAGACTATTTTACAAAAATAATTCTTTGTTCAGTTATTCCTTCCTTGAGTCCTAAACTTCACTATTCCAATGTGAAAGATTTCAAAGTAAAGTTTTTGTTAGTTAACCCTTTCCTGAGATATTAACTGATTTCTAAATGCATGAACAGTACAATTTTAATCAGCTAACCCTTCGCCGAGTCCTTAACTTAACCATTCTGATTTTTTTAAGTATTTCACAGTACAGGTTGGGTCAGTTAACCCTTCCCTGAGTCTCAAACTTCACTAGTGTGATTTGTGAAAGGTTTCACAGTACAATGTACTATCCTCAGGCAAGGCCCACCCATGCAGCATAACATCTTAAATTAGCAGTGTCTAACACACTCCTGTAGATAAATGACCAGAGGTGTGCAGCGGTTGTAAAAAAAAGTGTAAAACAGTGTCATAGGGCAGCTTTTCAGGAAAAACACATTACCAACATGTTGACATAGAGGACAGCGAATGAAAGCCTATAAGTAAAGCCTTCTGTTTGACAACTTTAACTGAGGCTATTCATTAAACTACATAAGACAGTTTGAGAGCAGATTGCCCACAGTACCAGTGATGGGTGCCAGACATCTGCTCTGCTTTTAGTTTGTCAAATTAAAGAGGTGTTCGGAGAGCAGATTGAAATTATTGCAGGGTTTAATACAATTCCACACTATCAGCCAGATTTTTTAAAGACAAGACGCCACTTCAGTAGCCATTGTTTGTTTACACTCTTGTTTCCAGAAGTCAGTTCCGCCTTCTCGATGACATCACACATGTCGTTGAAGACAGCAAGCGTTAATTGGTTGGGAAGCGATGTAGTCTGACATATTTCTATAACAAGAATTTAGAAGTCAAAATCACATATGACATTGTGGCTGCGTCCGAAATCGCATACTCTCTTATTTTGAATAAGTAATTACTTCACAATCGACCAGACACAAGTCATTTTGGGGGACAAAACCAGTCTGCCCTGCAAAAAGGGTTGTATTAAAATGTGCTAAATAATCAGGATGGGTTTTTTACCACAGTGTATGCCAAATAAGATGCAGATGTTCTCATTGAATATGTTTTTATATACTTCATATAAAGAATGAGATGTGCCCAAACCATGGGTAACAGTGCATTTTATCAAAGCAAAATTAGCATTTTAGAGACCTCTGTTTGTTTCTCTCTTCTAATTTCTGGTTAAAAGGTCATTGCTGACTCCAGGTGATGTGTGGACCGAATCCTTGAGCTTTATGGTATTCCAGAAGTATTACTTGCTGCAATAACACAGCTCTGCTTTACCTACTTGAAGCATCTTTTTAAAAAACTTCAAGATGAAAGCTCTCCTGCTGGAAGGCTCTTAAATGCTATAGTAATAATCTGGTTTTATT